GGCCTGCTGCCGCTGCTGCAGTCTGTCCGAAGCAGCAGCAGCAGCAATTGCAGACTCAGGAATGCGGCTAGCTGGGGGCCGCCTCCTAACCGGCCCTGCAGGTGCAGCATCTGCTGCTGCTGCTGCTGCTGCTGCTGATGCTGCTGCTGCCGAAGCAGGTACTGCTAACGGTGCAGGGCGCTCACAGTTCATCCTTGGTCCTATGTGGGCGCTGCCGTATACTGCTGTGCTGCTGCTGCTGCTGCTGCTGCTGTTGCTGCTGTTGTGGTTGACGTTGCTGCTGCTGCGGTCGCTGCTGCTTCGGTCGATGCTGCTGCCGTTTCCCAGAGTAAGCACATCGGCCGTCATTTGCTGCTGCTGGTGCTGCTGTTGCTGCTGCTGCTGTTGCAGCTCTTGCTGACGACGTCGCAACCTGTACCTGCGGGAGAATGTTGAGTGCAGCAACGCCTGCTGCCGCTGCTGCTGCTGCTGCTGCTGCTGCGGAGTCACTGGAAGGCGCATCTTGGCAGCAGCGGTCCGCTGGCAGTAGACAGTGTAACACAGCAGCAGCAGCAGCAGCAGGTGTTGCTTCTTTTGCTGCTGCTGCTACTGTTGCTACTGAAAGCAAGTGCTGCAGTGACACAGAGAAAAAAGGCAGCAGCAGCTGCTGCAGGGCTAGTTGCCGACGCCGTAGGATGCCGTTCGTGGCGGTCGCTGCAAGCCTTTGCTGCTGCTGCTGCTGCTGCTGCTGCTGTTAAAGAAAATGCGAATGACAAGAACGGGTTTTGAATTTAAGTAGAAGACAGCAGCACTACCTGTTTCTGTTTCTGCTGCTGCTGCTGCTGCTCGCATCTGTCAGCTGGCCTGGCCTTGGTCAGCTGTGCACGAACTGCAGCAGCAGCACCAGCAGCAGCAAAAGCAGCAGCAACTCGCCTGTCTTCCGCTGATCCCTGGCTCTTTAAAAACACAACAAATACCCTGGAGACGAAATTCAATCTTGCTGCGGGATGTCTTGCTGCTGCCGCTGCAGCGGACTGGACTCCTGCAGCGCAGCAGCAGCAGCAGCAGCAGCAGCAGTACCAGCAGCAGGAGCTGCTGCCCGTAAGATGTCAGTACGGGAGGTAGTTTAAGGGGCCCTGCCGCAGCAAACCCCAGCAGCAGCAAAATAAAAAGCAGCAGAAAAAATATAAGCAACATTTATTTAAAAACAGGCCTAGTGGGAGCGGCAGGCAGCAGACAGCAGCTGCGCAGGCAGCAGCAGCAGCGGCTGCTGCTGCGGTTGCTGCTGCTGCTGCTGCTGCTGATCGTCCGGGTGGCGGCTGCCAGAGCTGGGGGCGGCGAAGCAGCAGCAGCAGCAGCAGCAGCAGCAGAACATGAATGTGTCTTCTTGAGTTTAAGAGGCAACTTTGGCCTCTAACTGCTGCAGCTGCAGATAGTAGGAGCAGAATAGCACTTGCTGCTGCTGCTGCTGCTGCGGCGGCCGCCGACTGCTGCGGCTGCAGCTGCAGCAGCAGAAAGTAAGGCAAAGAGACGGGGCTAAACAAAGCAGCAGCAGCTGCCTGTGTTTTGTTCCCGTGTTAGCTGCGCATACACTCCGCAGCAGCAGCAGCAGCAGCAGCAGCAGCGAGTGCAGGGAGCCCACACTAGAGCCGTCGCAGCAGCTGCAGCAGTTGCAGCAGCAGCAGCAGCGAAGCAGCAGCCGCTCACCAGCAGCAGCAGAAGCAGCCGCAACAGCAGCGGAAAACGATAGCAGGGCTGGCATGCAGCCATTTGCTGCAGCAGCAACAGCGATCGCGACAGAGCAGCAGCGGCAGCAGCAGAGGCTGCGGCAGCAGCAGCAACACACAGGCCTAGAGCAGCAGCAGCAGCAACAGCAGAAGAAACAGCAGCACCGATAGCTGCAGTTGTCTCCCCACAACAAACGATGCTGCTATGCTGCTGGCGGCTGCTCTCAGCAGCAGCACTGCTGCTGTGCTGCGCTGCAGCAGCAGCAGTGGCTGCTGCTGCCCATAAGGACCCAGCAGCAGCAGCAAAAATTGCAGCAGTTGCTGCAGTTGCAAGAGCAGATGAAGGGGTGAGCTGCCGCAGCTGCAGTTCCTGCTGCTGCTGCTGCTGCTTTTGCTGCGGCTGCTGCTGCTGCTGGGTTTTGCTGCTGTTACTGGTGCTCTAGCAGTTGCTGCTTTCGTGCTGCTGTTGCTGCTGCTTGTGTCTTTTTAGCTTTTCAAGCTGCTGCTGCAGAGTTTGCCCTGTCCTTGCTGCTGCTGTTGGCATCGCTTCGCTGCTGCTGCAGTTGCTGCTGCTGCTGCTGCTGTGTGCTGCCACTGCTGCTGCAGCGCGCCCCCTTTAGCCCCAAATTTGCTGCTAATCAGCCCCTCGACGCAGCAGATGAGCCGCCAGCAGCAGCAGCAACAGTTCCTGCTGCTGCTGCTGCCGCTGCTCGGAAGCAAACTGGGGCAGGAGGGCCCGCCCGCGCACCAAAGGCTGCTTCCACTTCAGCAGCAAAACCAGCAGCAGCAGCAGCAGCAGCAAAAAATATGAAGGAAGCAGCTGGCAGTGTCCCTGTATATTATCCAGCTGTAGATACACCAGAGGATGGTGTATCTGGCGCAGCAGCAGCAGCAGCAGCAGAAGCAGCCGCAGCAGCAGCACCTGCTTTTGAGGCTGCTGATGTTGCTGCAGCAGCAGCTGCTGCTGCTCCTCCAAGCGAGAATGAGATTTTGCTGGATGTGCCCAAGGAATATGAAGCATATGCTGGTGCAGCAACAGGAGCAGCAGCAGCAGCAGCAGCGGAAGCAGCAGCAGGAGCGGAGGCAGCAGCTGAAGCGGACACCGCTGCTGCAGCCGGAGCTGCTGCCGCAGAACATG